AGGTCTTCCTGACTCCAGGCCCTGTGCTCTATCCACTGTGCCATATGATTAAGAACTGATGGCAACCTATTTTGATGAAGCATATACTTAAGAGATGTAATGCAATGACCATTTTATGATAAACGTAGAAGAAACTGAGGCAAACAGAGGTTAAGTGTCTTCCTCAGGTCATACAGCTAGTAGGTGTCTGAAGTTGAATTTGAACTCAGGTCTTCCTGGCTCCAGTCCTGAGGCTCTATCTACTGCTCCAAAATAATTAAGAATTGATGACAACTTCTTTTAATGAAGCATATTCTTGAAACACTTCATGCAATGATTATTATAAATAAATATCAACCTGCTTGCAGAAAAAAATAAGATATTTATTACATCTAAGATTGCCTTCATCTTATACAGGATAACATTTCATATATATTATAACAGCCATGTGGAAGATCAAAGGCATTGGGCCTAAAAGAAATCAGGTCAGTTTATATAAGCAAGTTATAGTCGTTATATTATAACCCATATTTGGAATGTTTCAAAGATAGACACGTCTATCTTTCACTGGGCAGATCAGCCTGGCCCAATTTTAGAAAAATATAAAAGCCAAATGAAATGTCAACACTGACTTGGTTCTATTAGTGATGCAATTTTGAAGTGTCCTTGATGTGTGATAAACACACAAAAAAAAATTGAAATCTATTAAAAGATATGTGTTAGTCACTTTTTTCTTTTCTTTTTAATTTATGGAATAAAACAAGCATTTCTATAACAATTTTCTAAAATAAAAAAGATAATTGCAAATGAAACTGCAAATCTATGATGTACAACTTGCTATTCATTTCAAATATACAACAAAATTATCATGTAAATTTCTTTTTTTTATCTTCTCTTCCACCTCCCTGCCCTAGAGATGGCTACCATTAGACACAAATAGGCCTGTATGTATAAAATTATTCTATTATACTTCTATTTATCAGTTCTTTCTCTGGATGCACATAGTGTCTTTCTTCATATGTCCTTTATTATTAATTTGGGTATTTATAATAAACAAAATAATTGATTTGCTCAAAGTTGACCTTAAAACAATATGGCTGCATTTCTCTAATCAATAATGATTTAGAATATTTTTAATGTGATTATAAATTGTTTTGATTTCTTCATTGGAAAACTGCCTATTCATATACTTTGACCATTTATGATTTGTATTCTTGTAGATTTGACAAAGTTCTTTATATATTTTAGATATCTTTATTATCACTTTTTGATGCTAGGCAGGAAAAGCATTAAAAAAATTACTATGTGTCAGACACTGTGCTAAGCACTGGGGAGACAATAAAAGCACACAGGGCAGTCCCCAGCCTGAAAGAGCTTCCATTCTAACGGAGGAGACAAGAAGTTTTGGAAAATGGCATGGCACGGAAATTGTAGGAAGCGATCTGGAAGCTTGGTTCTCTGGAAGATAAGGCAAAGGGTTCACTTACTAATACTGAGAGTAGAGCCAGCGGTGAAATCGAAGAATAGGACCACAATAAGGAGACAGGACAAGTCAGAAAAATAGGAGAACTGGTGCCTATTCAAGATGGAATTACATGTAACCTGCCTAATCTGGAGTCAGAACCAACTATCCTGGCTCTGAAAACATCTCCACATTTGAGCAAGATTACTTTGCAGAAATATAGTTATTAGCCACAACTGTTATTATGTGTTGTTGAGTCATGTCTGACTCTTTGTGATCCCATTTGAGGTTTTCTAGGCAAAGATACTGGACTGGTTTGCCATTTCCTTCTCCAGCTCATTTTACAGATGAGGAAACTGAGGCAAACAGGGGGAAGTGACTTGCCTAGGGTCACACAGCTTGCTTACTTACAAGTGTCTGAAGCCACTTTTGAACTCAGGAAGATAAGTCTTCCTGACTCTAGGCCCCAGTGCACCACCTGGCTACCCCTATTAAAAAGTTTTACATGATAAGTATTGCGCCTGTCTTTCACTCTACTGACACCTGTTCTATAGAAGGTAGGATCACCGTAACATAAAAAAAAAAAAGTTGTATGCAAAGAGCCAATATTTCTAAAAGAAAGGGAAACTAAAAGGTTCGAATTTATAATATAGGGTTTCCTTCTTCCTTCCCTAGTATTATTTAGGAACATTATATCAACACTGGCTCATTACACTTTAATTCGTGCATATAGAATACTATTCTTTTTTTCTTTTTAGCCACAAAAAAGGAAACGTGTGTTTATAATCTCAGGATTACATCCAGATTCTGCAGCAGTTTTTAATTCAGAGATCACACCTGAACCAATATTAGCAAGTGTGTATATTTATAAGAACTATGTAAACTTTTCTTCCACAAAATAGCATAAACCCAGCAGAATTCAAGAATTCATTGGCAAGATAAAATGGATGTATTGAGTTTCTTCTTTCTGGTATCTCAGTAGTGAGCTGTAGGTTTTTTGTTTTGGGGTTTTATTTTTGGTTGTTGTTTTGGGGCACTTTTTGAAGTGGGCTGCTAAGAGAGAGATCCCTGTTTCTATTCTTAAGAATATTAGTCTCTTAAGTGGTTTTATTAACATTCTACACACCAACTACCTCAGCCAGTGGAATTAAGCTACTCAGTTTCTCTAGGCAATTACAGTTACTGGTCACCATTCTGCAGGAAGCATACATGATGAAGGAAAGCCCTTACGTTGGATGGTAAAGAAATGTTGCTTGGGTCCCTGCATTCTCTTCCTCCTGAGCACCCTCTGAGACTTAAATCACAAACATATCATCTTATTTTAATCAAAGCTCTCCATTACCAAATGAGATGTTATAAATAGTGTTAGTGTTATAAATAGTGTTGTCAGCATTGATTAGGTGAAGAAAATGAGTAAGGTAAAGTGATTTGTTTGTTACAGCAAGCCAATACCATAAAGAGGATTAAAACTCAAGGCTTCAGTGTTTCCAATCCATGATTTACCCTACAAGACTATATAGTTCTTCTGATGCAGTAATGGGCTATTGTGTAAAATACTTCTAAGGCTCCAAAATATTTTGTTAATGCTTTAAAAGAAGAGACTTATGTCACCGTCATTTCCTAATTTGTTGTTGTTGTTCAGTCATGTCTGACTCTTCCTAACCCTTTCTGGGGTTTTCTTGGCAAAGATACTAGAATGGTTTGCCATTTCCTTCTCCAGATCATTTTACAGATGAGGAAACTGAGGCAAACAGGGTTAAGTGACACTTGCCCAGGGTCACATAGCTAGTGAGTGTCTGAGGCTTATTTTGATCTCTTCCTGATCCTACGCCTGACACTATCCATTGCTCACCTAACTGCCTTTCATTTCCTAATACCAAACTTACAATAGATCCCTCTCTTAAAACAAAGACACATAGTTAAGGACAACAAACTGACGTATGAACCAAGTCTAACAGAATATGCCTCATGGGAAATCTGTAGTTCATAATCTGTCTAATGTCAATCAGGCTATAAATCAATCATCAAACATTTATTCAGTGCCTACTATGTTCTAGGCACTGTGCTAATCACTAGGAATGCCAAAAAAGGCAAAATAGCCCCTATCCTCAAAGGGTTTACAATCTAATGGAGAAGGGGCACATGTAAACAAACAAATAGAAAACAACCTATATACAGGATAAATACGAAATTATTAAAAAGAGGGGAAGCACCAGAATTAAGAAGGGTTGGGAAAGATTGCCTATAAGAGATGGGATTTTATTTGGGACTCAGAGGAAACCAGAGAAGTCAACAGACAGAGGTGAGGAGAAATTGAATTCCAGGCATGGGAGACAGCCAGAGAACATATCCTGAGCCAAGATATGGAGTCTTGTTTGTGTAACAGGTTGGAAGCCAGCATCACTGGATCAAAGAATACATACATGGTGGGGAGGAAGGTGTAAGAAGACTGGAAAGGCAGGAGGAGGCTTTGTTATAAAGGGCTTTGCATGCCAGACAGAGCATTTTGTATTTGAACCTGGAGGCAATAGGGAGCCAGAGTTTGTTGAGCTGGGGGGTGGGTAACATGATCAGACTTGCAATTCAGAAAAATATTTTAGTAGCTACAAGGGGAAAAAAAGGTATGTTTCATCATTCATCCTCTAGAGCACATGATTTTAGTGTTGTTTTCCTTTGCATTATTGTGGTCATTGAGTAAATTGCTTTCTTAGTTTTACATCAACTCACACAAGTCTTCACAAGTTATTTTTTTCTCTCTGAATTCTTCATATTTTTTCTGTTTTGGATAACATTCTACTGAACTAAAATGTCAAAAAAAAATTTTAGTCATTCTTCAACTGATGGGCACCCATTTTGGTTCTAGTTTCTTACTAGAATGCTGCTATACTTTTTTTGGTATATATGAGACCTTTCTCTGTATCTTTAACCTCTCTAATCATAATTCTTTGTGACCAAAGATAAATTGAGAGTTATAAGAATACCCTCAAAACTTTTTCCTGACCATTTAGGGGAGAAAATGGATTTTTCTTCTCCTCTCCCTTCCCTTCTTCTTCTTTCTTTTCCTCTCTGTCTCTTCCTTCCTTCCTTCCTTCCTTCCTTCCTTCCTTCCTTCCTTCCTTCCTTCCTTCCCTCCCTCTTTCCCTCTCCCCTTCTCTCTCTTCCTTCCTTCGTTTATTTCTCTGTCTCTCTGTCAGTCTTTCATCTGAGTCTCCTCATTTTGCCTAGGCTGTTAGCAGCCACTCACAAGCCTAATCCCAATGCTGATTGGCATGGAAGTTTTAAATTGCTCTTTTTTGACACGGACCAGTTTGTTTCTCCTTAAGTAGACTGTGCCCTACCCCTTACCCTCATTCCCATGGACTCGCCATGCTGGCATCAGACTTAATACAGGAACTTTAGCCCTGTTGTAGCTCAAAACTCCCAAGGTGAAACAACTCACCATCTTTAGCCTCCCTCCCTTTCTCAGCAAGAGAAACTATATATGTGTAAGACCACACTCAGGTAATAGAATTTTTTAAGCAGATGTACAAACTACAGATCTATACAAGCAATGCCATACCTTTCAATACAGTTTCTGATGCCCCCTCCAGAGAAACAGCCACAATCCAAGGCTCTGAGGGAGGTCCTAATGATTCTACTACCCAACCCTAGAAAGGAAAATGAAAAGAGTTTAGAAGAGATCTGGGGAGAGACTATGGAAGGATTTTGAGGCACTTATTTCCCAGGACACTAACTGAATATAGGATCATAGATTGAGTTGAAGGAGACTTCAGAGGCCCATCTATCTAGTCCAATATCCTCACTTTACAGACACAGAAATTGAGGCCAAGGAGTTGATATGACTTGCACAGGGTCACATATGTAAGGAGTACCAGAGGCAAATTTGAACCCAGGTCCTCTAATTTCAGAGCTAGGCATCTTTCCATCATACCATGCTGCTTCCTTCAATGTCATATATGTTTTCATTTTTGTATTTACTGTAACCTCTGTGTAAAGTGCTTTGCAAACCTCAAAGTGCTATATAAATGCTAGATATTATTGTTAGGTAGCAAGGTGTTGAAGTGGATAGGGCACTGGGTATGAAGTCAGGAAGACCTGAGTTCAAGTCTGGCTTCAGACACTTACTACTTATGTGACCCTGGGCAAGTCACTTAACCTCTGCCCCAGTTTCCTCAAATACAAAAGGTGCATAATAATAACACCTATCTCCCAGGATTGTTGTGAGGATCAAATGACATAAAAATTTTAAAGTGCCTTGCACAGTACCTCGCACATAGTAAGTGTTTAATAAATGTTTGTTTTCCTTCCCTCTACTAAAGTTCTATCTCAGTGCCTCATTGCGCTATAGAGATGACCCTGGAGTCTCAAAGGCCATGCCAAGATAATTTAAGTCGTTCAAGATCCTAGCAAGCTGGAAAACAAAAGTACAGGTGCATTAATGGACCCTTTGTGCCATCAAAGAATGAATCTGTCTAGGTTTAGACAGGTTCAAGACTAAGTTGATTGTAGAGTAATCTATATTTGGCTATAGTCTACTTCATGATGGTCAACTGAGTGATAGAAAGGTTGCTGTCAGTGGCAGGAAGAGGAATACCCAAAATGGCAAAAATCACAGATCCCTAAAATCGCAAGTAAGTATTTAATACACATCATAAAAACTGATTTTGGGGGGAGTAAAGGAATGGATAGTTTTAGAGGGGAAGTAATTTGGAAGAGTTCAAGAGAAAGGTGAATGATCAGAAGGAGCAGGAGAAAGTAGGTTTTGTGAGAGATAAGCATCTTGTATGCTGATCAGAATGAATGAGGGGATAAAGGAAGGAATCTGGAGAGGAGGTGAGGCAGCATGGGATTGCATAATATTATATCTTTCCTCTGGATAATTACCAGTGTGATTATGGGCAAGTCACTTAAGTTTCTGGACCTAAGCTTTATCAGCTGTCAAATGAGGGGATTAAATCAAGTCTCTTTGGTCCCTTCTAGCTAGAGATCCATGATGTATATCTCAGCCATCCTGCCTTCTGCTCACTGTGACCAGATAGAAAGGGTGCTTGTTTGCTTTTTTAAGGGAAGAAGGGGTGATTTCATTAGTGCAGATTTTTTTTGATAGTTCTAGTAGAGATGAGAAAGGAGGAAATAGAAAGAGGGCATGGTGCTACAAATAGAATTAGGAGAGCTCTTCATTTATGATTTTAAAGAAAAGTGGAAAAACACTAATGAAAATGACACTTAGAACAAATATATGTGCATGTATTCATAAACTGTTCTAAATGATCAAATACATTTTGTCAATATCTCTGGTGAGGAAGCCAGAGAAGTCAACCAGCAGAGCTGAGGAGAAATTGAATTCCAGGCATGGGAAACAGCCGGAGAACATATCTTGAGCCAACACATAGAGTGTCTTGTTTGTGGAACAGGTAGGAAGCTCACTGTGAGGAGGTTCAAAACTACCTTCTCTGTTCCTTGCTCATAAAGCAAAGACATTGAGCTTATTGTTTCTTCAGTCTTTTGTGACTGCAGGAAAACAAAAAGGTGGAATTGAAAGTTAACCAGAGAAAGGAGTTAAGAAATACAAAATACAAAGGCAGCACCTTGGGCTGAGAAGGTAAGCATCCACTAAATGTTTTCTTGTACTGATGGAGAAGTGTAAGACACAAAAAGAATTAAATGAGCTGGTCTGTTAATCAGCATGTTTGCTGCCAAGCTAAGAAGGTAGTCAGTCACCTGTAGAAAAGGTTACCTGTTTATCCAGAAAAATGAGGTGTGGTTGCACTGGAAGCTCTATTCCCACTTCTCCATTGGACGGCTGAACTTGGATTGAAAGGGTATATGGTCGTTTATATATCACACCATCAGTATCAAGACTGCTTGAGTTTCTTGCCCAGTGAGGAAACAAAGACAAAAAAAAGAGGGTGGGGGTGGGAGAAGCATTCATGAGATAACAAATTTTGCTGAAATCACTATCTTCTTTACTATGTGTATATGTCACTAATTTAGAAATTAAAATTTGTCTGAAAGTTGAGGGAAACTAAAGACAGTGAACTTGAACTAGTATCACTGGTATTTTTCTCAATAGCATCTTTTAGACTTAGTAAAAAAAAATTGCCCAGTTAAATTTTAAAAATAAATAACAACTATAAAAAAAGAACTATGGGTTGATAGATTGATAGATTCTGTAAACTTTGCTAACCAATATCAGTTATCACTGCTGCTATTTATTGGAAGAGAATCTTCCTACAGAGGGACAAAATCAGAGACTCATAGGAATGCAAGCTTCTTTCTTGGTGGAAAGGACTATGTCTTACATTTAATACATATTTGTTTAAAACATATAATATGCCAGACTCTAGGTCACACAAAGATTAAAAAAAAAAAGACAAAGTGCCTTCTCTCTGGGGCTTACAATCTGAACAAAGAAAGAGGTACCAAATACTCTGAGAGATACAAGAAAGGAGAGATTGGGGATGGGGGAAAGAGGGAGGAATATGGAGGGATGAGAGAAGGCTTCATGGAAAAAGCTGCACTTATGCTGAGTTATGAAAACAAGTTTTCAGTAGCTAATAATGGGAAGGCAAAGAACTGTAGGCACGCTCAATTCGACAAGAACAAAGACACAGAGCCAGGTAAGTATACACGTCCACCTTTACCCACATCCTAGCACCCAGCATAGAGCTTTGCATGTGAGGGACATTCAATATATGTTTGTTGGCTAATGAATAAGAAAATGAATAAATTAATGAATGAACTGATTTACGTAGTACTAGGAAATTACTCATACATTGGGGAGAACCTAACTCAAGTTTATTAACCACTGGCATAAATGGAATGATAAAATGGAACAGAGCACTTAGTAAACCTTATAGCTCCAAAGAAATGTGAATTATTATTAATATTTTCATATTTTTCATGTTATTAATATTTGGTGGGAAGTTCCATGAAGGTAAGGATCATGTCCAATTCATCTTTGTATCACCTCTAGTATTTAGCAAAATGGTCTATATAATATAAAACGTAACAAATTTTCATTGAAATAATGAATAACTGGATAAATATATGCATGAAAAAATGAATGACACAGGAATTTCTAATTACTAAAGTTGTTCCTTTCATATTAAACCTCAAAAAAGCTGGGCCTAAAGGTTTTATAAGGCTATGATCTTAAAAATGAACACTGTTCCCAAACACAAATAAACCAGAAGAAATGATGTGAATGGTATGATCATTCATTTACTATATACTAAGAATCCTCAATATTTTGTGTGGAAGAGCGACTTTTCATTACTCCAAAGCTTTGAGACTAGGAGGGGAGAAATCTGAGTTTCTTAAAAGGTAAGTGGAGGTAGTAAGATAAGTGCTGTATTGACAACTAAGTCCCAGAGCAGAAGGACTTGCTTCTGTCAATTTTCTCCCTTTCCCAAAGGCAAACTGGAGAGGAAAGGGAGTGCAGGGGAGGGAAGGAATTGGAGTAGAATGTGTTATGGTCATGACACTTGGATTGGAGATCTATCTAGCAGAAAAGGTTATGAGAGCTACCTATTGATTTTTATGTACAGGCTGTGAATCCCACTGAACATATTATCATACTGCTACATAGACTGGTCCTAATTGCCATTCATTAGTATATTTAGGGTAAGTAGGTGAGCCAGCTTTGTGTTTTAATTAACCAATATGAATCAGGTTAAAATTTAAGCCATAATCACCATTGCTCCTAGTTTCCTCAATCTCTACTCTTGACTGTACTTTCTCTCCTATGAGTCCCAGGCTGCTGGGAGATTCTAAATTCATTTTCCAGTTTGAATTCTGCCCCTAACCTAATCCTTGCATACTTTCCCTGAAGATCTGCAAGTAAGAGAGAACCATCGGGATAGGAAAAGCTGACAACCCCCCATCATAGAGTCTGACATATCAGCAGTGATACCAAGAGACCCAGTAGCTGGGAAAAAAATGTCTGAGCACTAGCTAAAAGCCCCTTTCCTGACATACTTTTAAGTTTATTGTGAGCAAACATCTCTTATTAAATGTAAACAGCATCTCACTGGAGGTCAGAGACTTGCTGCTACAGCATATCCCAAGGTAATACCACTTTAAGCTCCACATAAACTCTTAAGCAGTTTCTATCCTAAAACCAGACCGTAGGTGGTACAGTTTTTTACGATATGTTATAATAGTGCAATAAATCTGTTAGCTTAAAATCGAATCTCCGTGGCCTTTTAGAGAAATCATCATTAAATGCAGGGTCCTGTTAATGATGCCATCCAAGTGAAATTGTTTAATCTGCTAAGGGGGTGAAAGGTCACCAAATGAATTTTTTATAATACATCAACTTGACACGCAATAGGGAAAACTGTAATAGATAAAAGCAAAGGAAAAGGGCACTGTCTTCTTCTGATAGGTCAATAGCAGCCAAGAGAGTCACTCATCCACTTTCCCTTCACTATGGTGCTCCTTTTCCATTTAATATGGACACCCAATTAATACCTCAGCACCACAGACAACCTCATTTTAGGTGACTTATAGCAATTTCTCCCCCTTCCCTGAAATGAAAGTGATCACAATACATCATAGCATTGTGCGAATTAACGTTAATTGATTCGAGTTACCAAGCAATGATGGGCCACTTATATAATCTAGGCGTTATTGGGTGCTGGAAGGGATGGAGGGAAGATTAGATTCCAGTGTCCGTTGCTGTGACGACGGGAGTCACCTGACACCTTGTTAGACAGTTGTAAGGTTCTATTGCCGGCCCCAGTGGGGTCGTCAGTAAACTGGAGTGATGTCCAAACATCATTACACGCTGCTCCGATATTAAAGCAAAGGGATTAGCACCTTATTGCAGGCAACCTGGATTTGTCATTGTGCTGTCGTTATCCAATTTCCAACTGCTAATGTAACTTTGGCCTGCAGGCAGAAGGACCTACAGCCAAACTTAAAAAAAGAGGGGGGGGAAGTGAAAAAGCCCACCCCCCAAATTTAACCCCTCATTTGACATCTTCCAATAACTAGTGAGGAATGTGAAAGAATTTTTTTCCCTACATTGCTCTAAGCAGAGGATAAAAGATAAGGAGCAACAAGAACCAGAAAATCCACTGTTCAGGCAGTTTTGGTGCCCCCTTTATCCCTTGCTTTCTGGGCCTGCCAGATCCAGGATGTTTAGCTGAAGGGAGGGAGTACAGAAGGAATGTACCACAGAGCATCTACATTCCTCTTCCAGGACCAGCAAACAAATAGATCCTGCCTGTCAGCTGCCTTTTTTAAAGCAAGACCTGTACAGGGAAAGGGATCAGTGATAACACCATCCCTCTCCCTCTAATGGCTAATAAGGTAGATAACCTTAAAATATATTTAGGCTTTGATGAAGAGTTTCAAAATATTCTGTGGACTTTCCATCTCTATTGTTCTGTAAAGGTTCCAAAAGGCAAAAATAGTGTATTGTGTAATGAGTAAAAAAGAGAATTTAATTCCAAAAGGATTCTGAAGTTTTGTTTTTCTGAAAAAGATCCAGTACTTTCAGTGATCCCAAGCTATTTCCTCAAGCCAAACCTCCTCCTTTTAACACTATATACTTCTGGTAGTTACATAGGAACATGATTTCCAAAGAATCAAAATTGTGAAAGACCCAAAAGTCACATAGTGAGACACATAGTGGGAGCAAGTAGGCTTTAGAATATCACCACAAGAGGCATTATGGGACAGGAGAAGGAGCACTAGCTCTGAGTACTTCAGTTCAAATTCCAGTTCTGAGGTTTACTACCTACCTGTGTGACCATAGATAAGATTCTTAACCTTTCTGGATTTCAGTTTTTTCATCTGTAAATGAAAGGATCCCTGTGGTACTTTCCAGCTCCCAGTCTATGATCCTTAGAGATAAAAGCTATTATCTGAGATATATGATTGAAAAAGCAGGTAAGCCTATCATGTCAAGTAGAGAGAGCAAAAGATAATAGATACATGATCTGAAGGTTGCTCTGGTACCTATATACTGTTCAAGTACCTAGTCTTAGGAGAAGGTTTCCAGAAAATTGAGTGAACTTCCTGGGAAGGATTTGTGGTGGATTATAAATACAAGTTGTATCAGATGAGAAGGTATAGAAGGGTGTCAATCAGCAGCATCAGAGCACCCAAATCGATGAGAGAATGGATTAATTAAAGTATCTAATAGAATTAAGCATCCCCTTCTCCTTGTGTGCAATGCAATGGAAAGGACACTTGACTAGGAGTCAAGTAACCTCAATGTCAACATGAGTTCTATTAGCAGTCCATTATTTATCCCTCACTTTTCCTATGTATTTGGCTCATCTTATTTTTCCAAGTATGCATTCCTTTGTGCAACATTTCTTTCGCAGAATTTATGTGTTTCCACTCGCTTATCACTATCAAACAAGTCCCTGTTATCCTTTGGGGGATAACAATTCATTTTTTCTGCAAATTTTAGAATTTTGTGACTTATAGCCATACCATGTTAATGGTAGAAAATTGTTTGTTTGTTTGTTTGTTTGTTTTAAAGGTTGGGTCTTTGTTGCAGGCAGTAGCTTGAGGCCATTAAAAGAAGTTTCCAGAAGCTCTCTCTTTCCACATTCTTCCTATTCAATGTTAGGATTAATTCATCATTCTATTGCAATGTCTGTAGAAGATATATGTGATAATGAATGCACTCTATGGGTTGTACATTCAACTGTATGTTATAGTTGGGACAATGTTATGTTGTTAAGTCATTTTTCAGTGGTGTCTGACTCTTTGTGACCCCATTTGGGGTTTTCTTGGCAAAGACGCTGGAGTGGTTTAATGTTTCTTTCTCCAGTTCATTTTACAGATGAGGAACTGAGGCAAGCTAATAAGTGTCTGAGGCCAGATTGACTTCATTCAGGTCCAGTGCTCT